AAGGCTAGGAGGGGGGGGGAACTCGGGGTAGAGGGAGATCGGGTGCTCTGTCTGGTGTTCAACTGCTTTAAAGGTCTAACTAAGACTATTCTTCAAATGATCCCTAAGCGGAGCAAACTTGCCTGGCTGCTTTCGGCATCACTAGTGGCTGTCTGTGCAGCACCTTGCATTAGAATTGGGGAGGCTCTCTAGGTCAGTGTTTCTCATCCCCTTTTTTATAAAGTACCCCCTTTTCAAAAAATAAGTACCCCCAAGACACACACTTTTTTTTTCCCTACCGCTGCAACACATTTGTTTAAACCACTTAATCGTGACTGGGAAGGCGATGACATTTTGGGGTGTAAAAAGTTAGAAAAAAATGCTGGAAAACTTAGAACAAAAATTCAGTTTCTCCAAATTTCAGTTGTTGACGTGCTCCCCCAGATGTCTCTGGAGTACCCTCAAGGGCACTCGGACCACTGGTTGGGAAACACTGCTCTAGGTGAAGCTGTTTATGTGGTTTCCTGGCCGATGATGAGCTTGATGCTGCAGAAAAACCAAACCACCCTCCCTGCCAGTGAAACTAGAGGGGGGGGGGGGGGGAGAGAATCCAGAAGAGGGAGGAGCAAATCTAATCTCAGAGGTTTTGTCACTCTCTTCCTGACAGCAAAATAAACCCGCCCACAAATTGCAGTGTGGGTCCTGGGTGACTCTGGTTGCGGGTGGCTAGTCCTGAACAAACAAGTTTATCAGTGACCTGTTTAGCGGCTGACTTGTGTTTATCTGCACACAATCAAGTAGACTGGAGTGCCTGAATTATTCATGCAGTGTCCCTGCCCTCCAGACTTGACTGCTTGTGATTACATCTGCCCGAGACAAACATTGATGGATACTTCATCTTTAAGCAAAAGGGGATTGCCTGCCTGTAGGCTTTATATAACAGATTATCTCTTCTGCACGGAATATTAAACGGAAGCGTGTGTGGTTTCTCGCCACCGAATCACACCGAGAAAGAAGAAGAAAGGTGATTGCAGGAAGGACTCCAGAAGACGGGATGGGCGGAATTATGCATGAAGTGATAACTCGCCCTGAAGCCCATGCAAAAGAGCATTGCTTCCAGTCTCTGCCACAATCTCTTGCGTTAAGTAAAGCGGGAGCTTCCCCAAATTCAATCTTCTTAATACAACTTTTACCTCAGTTGGCTTTAAATCTGCATTTGCTGCCCAGGCAGCTTTACAGAGACTTTTTTTTTCCCTCCTTTCCCGCACGGCTGTCACATGCCTCCCTTTTTAGTGGTCTTATTTTGTTTTTAAAAGTTGGCCGAAGTAATCTAATTAATTGGCAATCCAGAAAAGCCCCTAATCACATGCTGGGAGAGAGAACGCTTTGTGGTAAATATCCCACATTTCGAGTTTGGCTAAGACTCCGCGCCTAAGTACGTCTTGTGTTTAGAGTTAAACTAAGACTTTGGCCTTGGAACGCATTTAGAGCATATTGACACTTTCCTGAGAGAATCCTGCCTCTTCTGGAATATTCCAAGAACACAGTATACTTTCCTCATCCTCGTTAGCGAGGCGTGCCAGATAAGAACGCACTAAACGCTTGAGCAGCCAAGGAATTGCTTAGTCTGTTACTTTCTGACATCTTAAGGTAGAAACACAAAATAGTTCCCAGCTACGTGTTAACCCTTCGTGGCAGCTGGCTTGTGAATCCCCACCGTTCCCTCCTGGTTTCTGGATTTCCTGCCAGGATCTTTTGAACTTGAGTCTCTGAAGCAGCCTTGTTTTACCTTCTGCTGCTGATCATTCCAAAATGCCTGGCCCTGGCCCGCCCCGCCACACCCCCTCCCCGAATTCAATTCTCATCAGTGAAGCTCTCTACTTTGCTAATAAGGATAGCAGCCGCAAATAGCTTTCAACATGCCATTGACAGCCTGGCTGGAGAGAGCACTTGAAGCAGTGCTAGACAGCTGAAAGTACCCATAATTGTGTACCAGAGTGAGCCGCGCACTGCTGAAGGACCATATTTTCATGTGCTTAAAGAGACAATACCCTGGCTTCCACAAATGCTTCTAGTGCTTCACCGGCAGTATTTATTCACCCCCTCCCTTTTTGATTAAGGTTTCATGAGGTGGGAGGGCACGGAGAGCAGCAGCAACCGAAATCCCTGATGTACCGCCGAGCAAATGGCATAAACTCTGAGCCGCGCACTGCTGAAGGACCATATTTTCATGTGCTTAAAGAGACAATACCCTGGCTTCCACAAATGCTTCTAGTGCTTCACCGGCAGTATTTATTCACCCCCTCCCTTTTTGATTAAGGTTTCATGAGGTGGGAGGGCACGGAGAGCAGCAGCAACCGAAATCCCTGATGTACCGCCGAGCAAATGGCATAAACTCCAGCCGATCCGAATTGTGTGTTCTGGTTAATTGGGAATGTTCGAGTTAGGTCTCTTCCATTTACAAAGGGGACAAGTTGGCTTCACTTCAAGGGGCAGAACCTTGAAAGATCACTTAGTAAGAATCTCCCCCCCCAACCCCTGAGACAGGTTTTTGTCTCCTTTTATTGTGAGTTGCTGAATAGCATTGTGCCACATCGGGAGAGACTGCCCAGTAATCTGGCGGCGTGGGCTCCAGTCCCCGAAAGCTGATGCCCAAATACGATTTTTAGTCTCTAAGGTGTCTCAGGACTTTTTTGGGTTTTGCTGAAACGGGCTAACACGGCGACCCCCCCGAAGGTGTTTTCAGAGTCTTTGGCAACCGGTGAGCCAAACGAGCGTCCTCCTCCCAGTGCTTCAGACTCGCACGCCCCCGTCCGTGCTGCACGGTCCGATAGACGGAGTCATGCGTCCAGGCACTGCTAGGCTGGGATGTTCGCAATGTATTCGGACACGCGCGTGAAAAATGGTGACCGGGCATGCACGTTAGCTGCTCCTCGTACCTTGAAGTA